TACTGGAATGACTCTGGTATATTGAACGACTATTTGCTAGTAGTTAATTTCCAGATTTAATAAACTTTAAATCTATTGAACTATGATACTTAAAATCATACAACAAAAGAAAATAGCAATAACAAAATATTTATATTCGTGTTCTGTCACAGTATAACAAATTCTGTTAAATAAACTTTGAAATTACTCCAACTTTTCAGACACCGGTGTTTTGGAAGAATAAACCCCTTACCATATTCTGAGTGTATGGAATGTCTTCCTTCAAATAATTAGTTTTTACATTATAATTTGCTATATTCCACTACACAGATTCCAGCTATACAGAATCAGAATTTGTAATAGTATAAGACCAGTTTACTAATTTTCTGTATCATCATTATTTTTTTGATTACCCAAACTATTTACTTAAATTATTTTGTCTGAGTGGGAGGAAGGCTTAAGTTTATTTCTCTCAGCACCTCTGTTTTTCATTTCTCTGCAGTGAGTGTTAGAAGGCCGTGGGCTGGGGCGGGGAGGGGGGGGGGTGCTAAGCTAACTTACAAACTTTTAGCGGGCAATTTCAGTGCACGGCCTACTATTAGCACACAGACGCCGACACCCTTTATGAGACGCGCCAGGCACCATCCAGACTGTATACAAATGAAATGCTGCGAGTTGAGATTGGGACACAGAAATGTTTATTTGCGTTACACTTGTTGAGAAAACGGCATTTCACACGTATCTCTGTCACCACGATAAAATGTAGCTAATGTACATCCCTGGCAAAATAGTTTACGTAAGGATGCGCCGCACATTGTACACAAAGCAGTTTCGAAATGTCAGAGATTATTTGGTTATTTCTGGTTTGGTCTTGGTGCGGTAAGTTCTATTGAAAGGGAATGTTTGCCTTGCATTAAATTATATTTATTTCAGGGGTGATTATCCTGATTTTTTTTGCAAATTTACCTAGACAAATTCCAAGCCGATGCAGGAGTGTAATAGAAACTGGAAATATAAAAACAAATAAATGCTTTGCTGTCCTCTATTTGCAGCGGTAAAGTTGTAACTTCCAGTGTACTAGAACGAGGTGTTCTTATCAACACTGTGCAGCAAACAGTTGTATGGGTTGGCAGGATTTGGGGTTTTCACGGTGGTGAGTTTGAATATGGCTGTCTCCTGGATTGTTACGCCGTGTAGTCTCGTAGAAGTTTGCCGACGTTCCAAAGTTCCTTGTTGCCTCATCCCCCTGATTCTACTTAGTAGTTATAAACGTCCAAAATCGTTTGCTAGAATAAAGCAGTTAGGTGAAAAAATATCAGTCCCCAGTGGAGACCAAGCTCCGACCGGCAAGACAGTAGCCAGTTAGTTTATTGCCTGAGATATTCTGGCTATGAATCGGCACGAAAGAGATAATGCAACAAACTGATACAGGTGTCAGCGTAGACGTGGCTATAGATCTTTAAAATAAGTCTAGGGCCTATATTAGAGCAATTAAAGTTGGACATACGTAATTTTTAGTCTCAGTGAAAGTGTAGTGGTAAATGCCATCTGGTTTTGTGTTCATAAAAATACTTTCGTAATTTAACTACATGTAGACATAGTCCAATATTTTTTGCATACAATCTTAGATAAATTCAGTCATATATTCATGGAAAGAACGGGTTGGATAATTAAAAGAAACGAGTCTTTACATGATAATGCCTTAACTTGGTTATGTTACATCAGACATATATTGGCATCGAACGTGTTTTGTCTACGATTATGACCAACTGACAGACCGACTGACCAAGTTGACTGAATGAATTTAAAACTGTTGGTCGGCGCATATTGAGCCCGTGTTGCGTGTACCATTACGCGTACCGAATGCAGAATACTTATGTTTGTAGTAGCCTATAGCTATAAACTATAAAAATCTTTCAGTTCAATCAAACTTTAATTTATTGACTTACGAAAGAATTGCATATGTACAGAGGCCTATATTTACAGTATTTTATATATTTATTTTACCTGGATCTCTCTAATATAAAGTACAGAAGTAAGTGAAACAATGATTTTCAAGTTACATTATTAATTATGTTAATTACAAGTCAATAACTAGTTAAATAGTTTGATGACTGAATAATTAAATTATTTTATATCATGGTCATGATTTTGACAACTTGAGCTGTGATTTTAATTTGGACTGCAGAGCATTCCATAGAGGAGTTTTAAAGAAGTTGTTAGCGAGGTTTCCCAGGGGAACGCTAAAGAAAAACCGACAAGAAGTGGAGATTGAAATGGAATTGACGAGTTCTCCGAAATTTCAAACCATAAAAATGAGAAGTAGATAGAAAGGAAGGAGGAAACAGAAAGAGGGAGATAATAAAAGTTTAAAGGAACGTTAAGAAAAGCTTAATGGACAGAATCCTGGCGACACAGTTGCAGTTTGTACACTATCGATAATGCTACTTGACAAAGAATTGACGGGATAGGAGTAAGCAGCATGCCCGCTACAATCATCCCATGTTAATATATATTCATACTGACCCATGTCTCTCTTTTCGGAACAATTCTTACTCTTGGCACGTACGCAGCAATTGCAAGGGAAATAAGCGTTTTTACATTATGAATATGCCTTTGTCCTTTGTCCTTTGTCCGAAAAATTTCATTGCATCAGACTTGCTTCCTGGCAGGTATCATTGCACATTTTCGTTACCCAAGAAAAATGGCAACTTGTCAGACTTGTATTACGGATGCACCCAGTTTGGTTATCGACTGGGAAATCGATTATTTTGACTCTCGTTCATTCGGCTGTTTTATTAAATTCCTCCAAACAAGTTTAGGGATTTTAACTTCAGATTGAGCCCTGTCGGGTATTTTTAAATCACTCATGAATAATATCACATTTATTCGACGCTGAAAGGTTTGCAATAGAAATTCGACGTTAAATAAAAATGTACTGATGTAAATTATTGTCCATGCTCCAATATATTCGCCTTCTAATATATAGTGATACAAATACTGGTACTTACTATAGGGTATACTTGAACCAATTAAAGTAATTTGGAATTTACGTTTTCTATATTTAGGAGCATACGTATTTTAATAAAGTTTGAGATCCTCACGGCGGTGAGTTCAAATATGGCTCTGTCCTCTGAGTTTTAGGGCCGTGTAGTCTGGTATAGGCTTACCAGCTGTACGATAAGTCATCGCCCTGATGATGGAAGCACCAAGGACCTGTGAAATATTGGTAAACTTCTAGCAGACTACACGGGGCTACAACCCAAAGAACATTAATCTACATATCCATTGTAGTAGTTTTAATTTCATTAGTTACTGTTACACAATGTAATTTACCACTGTCATTTACACCTGAAACATACAAACTTAGAAAAACTGAAATGGCTTATTTGTTTTTCTAAAGCATTTATTCAGAAATAAAATTTTATTTGTAATATTAAATTGAATTATTTTTAATGAAGTACTTATCGCGTACTACTTTTAAGGAATTTCTGAGCAATTAGATAATGCACATTAGGCATTTATAATAAGTATATTTTCATGGTTCTGTTAACAGTAGTGCACATTAAATTACTTAATTAGTTTGACGGCAGAGGAAATTTAGGCTGCATGTTCCTACGAAGCGTTTGTAACCACCTACTAAACTACACGGCGTCATAACCCAGAAGATCTTAACCACCTACTAAACTACACAGCGTCATAACCCAGAAGATCATTGTGCATTGTAACGCTTTTGTAACCAATTAGTGGTAGCTTGAATAAATGATATGAAATATTCGCTAATAATAAAGAATATTTCATAAGAAACATACTAGTGTAACTTAGGCACGTGGATTTTCCGCGGTAAGGCATTGTTTCTTTGTGGTCACCCTCAACAACAAGAAAAAGAGACAAGTACGAGAAGTTTAATAGAAGGTTGTTTTAGAGGTCACGTCAAGATCACTGTCAACTGTGTGGAACGATCTATCATAATTTAATTTTCCCATGACGGTTAATTCTGCACACTTGTGCACCGTGTTGGCACATATGTGTGTGCACATATAAATGAAATAAAGTGACCTCCAAGAAACATGGAGTTTATGTTAAATAAGAGAACACCTTTTATTTTTATATCTTCTTATCCTCTTGGAAACGTTCTTGGTGGGTGAGTTCCAGTGGACTGAAAGCATTGTCGGCTGGTCTTTTCCTTTGAAGTGTAAAATAAATGACCGTAAGATTTCCTGGTTTAGAAAACATTATATTACTTTATTATTAATAAGCTAATGGCTTAAAAACGAGACACGCTCAACTCTTATGCAAGTTCTGCAAGGTTCCCTACTTCTATTTGTTAAATATGTGGTT